GCGATGCCTACCTGATTCTCGCAGCATGAAGTTATGGGTCCGATACTGAAGGGACTAGGAGTGTTGTGATGTTGTGTTTGTTTTGTGTTTTTCCATGTGTTATGTGTGGATAGATGTGAGTGTTGTGGTGTAACGCGTGGTGTGTGTGATGTGTCCTAGTCGACCAGCGCCGAGTCGCATTTGGGACTTCAGCCCCCCAGTACGTTGATTCGCGTGCGGGTTCGATTTTCAGGCGTTCAACCGCGCGTAACCCCCTATGCTACAGCGAGCGAGAAACGCCCTCGGCTGGGCCACCACTGCAATTGCATACGAAAAGCTTTCGCATGTGGTTCAGTAGCTCGGCGGGGATACGCCCACCTAAGGGATGGTGACAGCTTCCGCATGTGGAGGTAAGCGGTGCCTCGCATGACCCTGTCCTATCGTAGGGGCTCGCGAGAGGTACAGCTGGCGCACTCGGTCGGAGCGGCTAAAACACTCTGCGACAAAGTCCTGCAAAATCCTGTGTGACGCGGCCGGGAGGGTCCCCGTGCGAGACCGATGCGCTCGACAGCGTTATGCCCTGGCTTGAAAAGCCCTTCGATGCATGGTCCGAATTGGACTGGGAGAACACAATGAAAGACTGCCCTTGAGCATCTGATTATCGACTAGCATTCATCCAAGAATGGGGGACATTCATCTTCCTCGACCAAATCCTCGTGACGAAACACACGCCGGTGTTGTCTGCGGCATTTCGTACCCAAGACCGTTTTTTGCCGTTGACTGCGCACAACGTGTCGTGTCCACCACGCTTGTGGGAACCATCGATGAAGATGGAGTTGCTCGACTGCGCGAAACAGAACCAGTTTCTAGAGGAATATCCCTTCCTTTCCAGGACAACTTGACGGGGAGTGTGTCGTACTTTTGCGTGATCTTTGTCGTTTCTCTTTCGCTAGGGTTCTTTGTGTTTTGGTAAGAAATAGAAGTAAGACTTCAGTGGAAGCGAGTATTTACGTGTCCTGAAACGGGCTCATCGTTGACGGGGACTCGATTATGTAAACGCATGGTTGGAGGAACGGTAGGTTTGACGTGAAACTGGCGGGCCAGGTCGATACACCCCGGCATTGGTAGGAGGTCGAGGAGTACGTGAAGGTCATTAGAGATGACATCGGTCGCACTTTAGCGAGATCATGTGGTTTCATCCGTGCACGATACGTGTCTTGCTTCTCCTCCACTGCAACCCTGTGCAGTCCACAGCTCCTGACGTACGGTTCATCCCTGAACACAGTGTACAGTTTCGGGGCGAAAGGAAAGGCGAGGTCGAGGGGGAGGTCATGGGAGATGAACAGTGTAGGACATGTCAGCTATTCAGCTGTTCAGCAAAAGTGACACCGAAGACTGTGTATGCGTGCGAGCATTGAGTTTGATGTGAGCTTGTCAATGTCGGTTTAACCTCCCTCTCTCTTTCTCTCTCTTATGTGTGCGTGTGTGTGTTTAGTGATCGGTGGAGCGTACTGTTAGTCGCTCGTTGCGGGTGCCGGTTACCTGCCTTGCCAATTGAATGCCTCGAATTGATGATGGATGTAAGTTTCCAATTGATGTGCCTTGATTGGTGTGCCTTGTTTGTGACGCCGCTTCCTGTTCAGCGAAAGATGAACAGTTTGAGAAATGTGGGTCATTCAGCAATAGTGTGGACTGAGAATGTATGTGTTATGAAAGCAATGGGTTTGATGTGAAAATGTCGATGCTGGCTTTCGATCCTTCTGCTTTGTTTGATGTGACTTTTAGCTATGCCGCTCCCGTGTTCTGTTTGTCTGCTTTTGGATACGCCGTCCCGTTCCCGTGTTCTGTTTGCCAGCCCGGTCGTGTCGAACTGTCACGCTGCCCCCCCACGTTTGAGTCAAACTCGATCGAATCGACCTCCATCGAGTCGATCTCGATCGAGTCGAACACGATCGAGTCGAACACGATCGCCTGGACTCATGATCGGATCCAACACGATCGTCTGGACTCACAATCGTCTGGACTCACGAACGCCTGGACTCACGTTCGAGTCGACACGATCGGCTCGAAGACGATCGCCTTAACTCACCATTGAGTCGAACACGATCGCCTGGGCTCACGATCGACTCGAACTCGATCGAGTCGAACACGATCGTGTCAAACTCGATCGAGTCGAGCATGATCGAGTCGAGCATGATCGAGTCGAGCACGATCGTGTCGAACTCGATCGAGTCGAACACGATCGCCTGGACTTACAATCGACTCGAAAACGATCGAGTCGAACACGATTGAGTCGAACGTGATCGTGTCGATCATGATCGAGTCGAACACGATCGAGTCAAACACGATCGAGTCGAGCACGATCAAGTCGAACACGATTGAGTCGAACGCGATCGAGTCGATCATGATCGAGTCGAACACGATCGAGTCGAACACGATAAGCCTGGACTCACAATCGAGTCGAACACGATCGAGTTGGTCTGTCACGCTCACACCGAACAAGATCGTGTTGACCACGGGCATGATCACGATCGAGTTGAACACGATCGTGGTTGCCTCGTCACGAAGGAGATGCTGCCTTATCACTATTTGGAACTTTTCTGCTCCTCGTGCCATGCCAACGTTGTGTAGCCTTCTGATTTTGTGCTTCGCCGTGATGTGTTGTGTTGCTTTCAGATTAGGCAGCGCTACAAAACATGGAAGGAGAGGGGAAGGCAAGTAAATGACGAGCAAGTAAGAATTATGGGAGCACGGAACAATCTCCGAAAAAATCGAAGGGGACTCCGACCGCTGGGGTTGGGAGTTTGGAGGCATCGGGGCTTAAGCGGCAACGCATCCCGGTTTCAAGGGGTGCACCTTCCACGGGCACTCCGTCGACTCGTGTTCGGCTCTGGACCGGATAAGGCTGTGTTGATGACTGGCGGGCCTGCGGGTCAGGAACGTGTGCCTGGTCCACAGCACGGGAGATCTGCAGTGGAGGTTATGCCCGAACGCAAACCGTCTGGAGAACGTAAACCGTCTGGCGAACGTAAACCGTCTGGTGAAACGACTGCTGCGGGTCGGCGAGACGATGTCCCCGTGATTGACCACAAGGACAAGTTATGGATGCTGGACTGGGTGGGGGAGACCGGACAACCATCGAGTGGCCTTGTTCTATACGTGGTCATCAAAGAAAATATTGTGCCGGTTGGCGGCCTGGTGAGGTGGACTGGGCAAAATGTGTCGTTTGCAACTTTCGAGTTGACGATGGTCCTGAATGGAAGAGGGGAAAGAATACCAAACATTAAACACGTCGCTCTTCGATGGGCCAAACACGCGGGGCTTGGAAAGTCGCTGGTTGATGTGTTCAACCCACCAGGGACATTGGAAGTGAAGTTGCCTAACCTCGTTGACGTCCTCGGGTTTTTCGACAGTAATGTGATCGCGGGCAGAGCGCCGGTTGTGCATCCAAAGGACCGCATATCAGAGCCTAAATGCGTGCTTTCGAAAACCGTGGAGACAGGGTCTTCGATCACGATCCGCGATACGCCGCCTGGTCCGAAAGCTGGGCAGATAGGAGAGAAGGGTCCGTGCCGCGGACTGGTCGTACCATCAGCCCCTATGAAGACCAGGCCAACGACGACCAAAACACCAGTTGCCTTGGGCAGTCGATCGCGCTATGATGTGGCCACCAAGGGACATCCCCCCTTGGTGGGCCAGCAGCGCTATGACTACGTAGAGGAAGTCCATGAGTATTTTGAAGATGAGGATGAATAGAACAGCAAGGAATATTCTGAACGAGCAAGAGGACAGGAACAGTATGCTGCGGGTGTCGGCGCCATGATGAAGACAGTGAGCACACTGTGAGCGCATCGGGTGGGGAGGTTGGTCTGGCAGGAGGATATGGGAGCAGCTACGAAGGATATGAGGGGGATGTGCACGCGACAAAGGCTGTGGCTGGGCATACAGATGCTGCAGGGCTCTCTGAGCGAAAGAGGAAGCACAGGCGCGAGAGGAAAAGTCTTATGGATAATAAACGGAGTAGGCAAGAAGCGGGTGAAAAAAAACGATTGAAAATAATGTCCGTGGATGAGGCGGTCCAGCGAACGCGGGAGACTGAGGCAGCCGCGAAGAAAAAGCAGCAGCCAAAAAAAAGAAAGGCAAAAGGTGGTGTTATGGAAAAGACTTCTGTTTTTCCAGCGGAACAACCACAATCGGATGAAGAGGCCCAAGGCAAGACAGTTACTAGGCCGCCAAGTTTGCGAAATGTGTCATCAGTGACTTCTTCTGGTGTTCTTAGCAAAGGTTTTTTCCTTGAGTTGGACGAGCGTGGGAACCAATGTCCAGACATGGAATTCATTTCTGTCCAGTTCGACAGAATTATGAATATCCCCGATGGGGAATTCAGATACAATCAACGTTATCTTGTGCAGCAGACGGTTGACGATATTTATGACGCAATGATTGCATCGGGTGAGGCTGCTATGAGAGAGAAAATGACTGGAGTTGCCGGTGTGAATGTCTATACGTTGTATGAGAAGCCTGTCCTTTTGTTGGTTGCCCTCCGTGATACATTGCATACTAACGCTTCAGGGAGGATTGTGAGAGCAAGGAGGGTATTGCCCTATGATTTCGATCTCGAATCTGTGAACAAGTACTACTACTACCCTCTCAGCGGTCAGCATAACGTGGCAGCGGCAAGAAGATTTTGTTGAACACCCTGACATCGCACAAGAGCTCCGATTGGATCGCTGGACTGCGAGGCCTGTTTATTATCCGGATAAGAGCATGGACAATTACGGCACGCTGAGCACTTTCCAGAACTCCAAGGACAAATGGAATACCCCACCGCACCAGAACGTGGTCGTCCAGAACATACGAAAGTTGTGGCACGAATCGAACTGTCCTGAAGCTAAAGGCGGCTCAGTAGCAGAAGTGAGAAATGCAGAGTATAGAAAGTTTGCAGGAGAGGCTCTTCGTTCGACCGGGATTCGTAATTTTATTGACATGTCCCTTACTACTCAGTAGAGCGGCCAGTGGTCTGACGCCCTTGGGCCCTACATGTTGTTGGCAAGGGCGACAGATGACGTTTTCGAAAAGGTGAAACAAGTGTACGCCGCTTGGGAAGCTGGACAATTGTCGGGGAGAGATGATGTGAAGCCTGCTACCAAACAAGGTGAATCAGGGAAGGCACCGAGGGCTGGACCCGGATTTGAGTTGAAAGGTGGAGTTAGGTATCCGGTTCACTGGGTTCAAGGTACCAAAGGACCTGGTTACCTCGTGGCTGTGCACGATCCGGATATCAGAGCGTGGAAGCCTTTTTCAGCGCTTGGGAGGCGTGAGCGGCTGCAACTATTGCGAGACATTCTCACAGGCAGTGTAATACCGACTCCTTAACAAAGTGGAGTTGCTCAACGTGCCGGAAAACATTCAACGGAAACATATGTGGAAATGGTGAAGAATGAAAGAGCAATGTTGAGGATGTTTCACTACTTCGTCTTCATTTCTAACCCTCACAGGAAGTCGTCAGAGTGGACGGAACCATTCTTCAACAACCTTTCCGATTTGTTTGATAAGTACTCTGATGAAGGATTGACGTCCGAGAGGTGGATCGACCAGCGTCGCCATTTCAAAGAGATGAGTTGGGTGCGAACGTTCCCGGCTACACTTGGAGGAGAGGAGGAAAAAGGAGAAGAGGGCTTCAAGAAAACAGCGTCACTTGCTGCGAAGTGCCCCGAAGAGTTCATGCAGTTTGTCAACAAGTTGTTGCGTAGATCAGAAACCAGGGGTTCGGAAAGCATAAGAATGTCGGGCTCGGCGCAATATATACATTTCAAAAGACAGAACGTGAACTCTATTTTCGTCTCATTCCAACGAGAAGCAAGCGATATCTCAGACGAGATGGATTCCAAGGAAATATATAGAGTCGTCAAACATATGAGTTGCCACACGGCCGTGCTAGATTTATGTCACCCAACCCAGATAGGGTGTGGACTAAAGAAGTCTTTGATGGTCTGCGGAAGTTCATGGGAAGACTGACTCATGATTATTGGACATTATTGTGCTTCGTTCCGCGATCTTGCGAGTATACATTTTTCAAGCAAGTTACAAGTTGGGAGATTGACATTCACTTGTCTATTCTAAAGTGGACTCGTCAGCTACAAACGAAGGCGAAGCATTTATATAAGGTTGCGAACTTGCCTTTGGAGGACACAGACAGAATGGTCGTCATCATGTACTCCAACAATGGGGATTATCACCGCAACACTATTCCCTTGCTTGAAGACATTCCAGCAAGCACTCCAGCTGCAGATCGATCATCTGGCGAGCAGGCGGGTGACTTATCAGCACTTGTGCGCACAGAGAGCAGGCCAAAGATGTTGGCTGATGTCGTGGAGAGGAACTTCACGCCCACGAAGTTGAAAATGGCAGGTATGGAGCCAAAAGAGAAATTGGTGTACGAAGGTATCGAAAGGGAGCCAAATGCGATGGTGGAGACATTGGAGCATTTTTGTCATGCGGATGAGATGGTTGTTTTCCTGGGAAAAGACCATGCGGCGTTGATTTGGGAGTTGTTAAAGAGTCACCGTCATTACATTGTTCTGGAAGGGAAGTGTATGAAGTTCGAGTTTCTCGTTCAATTCGTCACCAAGATGGTCAAGAGTGGACTTTACCTCGCCAAATTTGTTAAGTCGCCTCCTCGACATGATGAAAAGCGTGATCTCGTCTACAAAGTCGGCAAAAACATCGTCAACATTTGGGAGTTCCTTTTCGAGACTAAGCCACAAAACAGAGGGGAACGTGCATATGTCGTCAGAAGACGAAAAATGAAATCACTTCTGAGGGGATATCATAAGGTACCGGCGGAGACGGAAGTTGCATTTCTGGACCGTTTGGAGATGATGTACTTCGACCAACAAATCAGGGCGTTTACAATCGCAGCTTGTGCAACTTGTTTTGGGGAAGGCTTCGATGCTGAGGACTCAGAGGAAGAAAGTGAAGATGGTACTTTGCAAGCGGCTTTGGTAGATGAGAGGGAAAAAGCTTGTAGCTCGGCTTCGCAGAAGATGGGGGCGCCGGGCACATCGTCCGGTTCTGGGGGGCTTCGAGTATGGCAGTTACAACGGACCAGTTTCAACGGACCAGTTACATGGCGGGCAACACAACAGCGTTATCTTTCGGCGCAGTTCGGGATGATCTGAGGCTGCAGGCAATTCTCTCCCCAGAGGTTATGGCAAGTCTGTCAGCACTTGCACATAGCCCGGCTACTGTTTTGGAATTGCTACGCTCTCAAACTCCTCAACCACCTCCGTCTGAGCCTTTGGAATACGAGATTGAAGACATCATCCCTCCGGACATTGCACGGTTTCCTGGACCTATTGTGTGCCGGAACGATTATACGGTGATGCCTGACAACGTATGGGGTCATCACATTATATGGCACCCCCACCACTTCCAACCTGCATTGGCGAGAGGGAACTGGGTAATGGATATAAAAGAAGAAGAGGAGTGGAAATTTTGCCTCCACAGACGCATGTCACGATCCAAGTTTGTCGCACATGCAAAAAATGAGATTGGCAAGCGACTAATGCGACTTAATCCGAAGGTTTCTCCATCAAAACTGAATGCAAGGACAGAAGAAATCTTAAAGGAGTTCAAAACATCTCGATGGCTTGAGTATCTGGAAGAGTTCTATGATCGAGAAACAAATCCAGCTTTTGGATATAATTGGCGTATCGAAGAGGAACTTGAAGACAAAGTTGGGGAAAGGAAAGGAGCGAGCGAGGCGGCGATGTGCTTGGCAAGGGAACAAGATCAAGTGGTGGTGAACATGGCAAGGGATCGGAACCACGGGGCGGTGTCAGTAGCAAGGGCCTGGGACCGAGCGTCAGTGCAAGTGGAAAGTCAATAAGTCATGGTGAACTGCAAAAACACGAAATGTGTCAAGGGCATCAAGCAACAGAGGGAAACGTATCAGGACCAAGCGGCGGTGCACATGACAAGGGATCGGGTTCGCCTCTGGGATTAGGACCAAGCAGCGGTGCACATTGCAGGGGATCGGGTTCGCCTCTGGGATTAGGACCAAGCGGCAGTGCACATGGCAGGGGATCGAGAGGCGATGCAAGTGGCCAGGATTTGGGAGGAAGCGGCGGTGCAAGCGTCAAGGGCGTAAGTCATGGAGAACTGTCGAAATGTGTCGAGGACGTCCTTCCGGTTGACCAAGTTTGGGCGACCACTTTGTTAGCGAGCGAGAGTGTTATTGCGCAAGTGGATGATACTGGTGCACTTGCAGAATTAGAGATGCCATTGGATATGCCAGCTGAGAAAGATGAACATGAAGTCTCTCTGGACATTAAGAATGAAAGCGCGACTGCAGGTGCAAACGAAACTGCCAATGTACAGGCCATCGAAGAGGATGAAGGATATATAGTACTAAGTACACGGGAGCAACATACGCTTGTATAGCCTGAACTTATGGTTGCAAAATCAGAAGCACAACAGTCAGTTAACCTCGTGATATCTATCGACGAAGCTCCTTTTACACCATCGCATGGTGCGATAGAAGATCGTGTTGAAGACAAAGTGTTAGTGAGCCACCGAGGTGAGCACGTACTTATCTCTAAGGGAATATCTAATATTGTATGCGGATTAGGGGGTACATGCACTCATCTCATAGGAACTAAGTTTTTACCTAAGTTTGCAACCGTGCGCTCGATCATGAGAAGAAATGAAGTATAATATTGTGTATCTCTTATTTGCATTTATGTGAAAAATTGAACTTAAACTCATAATATTTTGTCTTGTCAATCATTGTCGTTTTATATTGCTGAACATGTAGGGCAACGAAAA